CGGCAAGCTTTCAACTCATCTCACACCGTTGAGAAGAGCTGTATTGGAACTTTTATTTGCATGGAAAAATATCAGAACAAGCTCCCAAACCAGGACTTCCGTCAGGGAAAAGAGGCGTACTCTATAAAACGCAAAATACGGAAGACCCGAACAAAAGCAGTACCGATTCCATCCGGTTTTTCAGCGTTTCATGTTTCTCAATATTACCAGCTATAATTCGCCATTATCTTCCTAGCTTTCCATTCAGCCCACTAACAAACCGCTTAAATTAACACGATAAGCAGTAGTAAAAGGTTCGCTAAAACTCTGGCCAGGGGCCCAACCATAAATTTCAATTAGCAGCTCACTCAGACCATAGTAACCAGTAATACTTAGCTGTCATCCGAACCTATTTCTCGCCACTTCGCTGTCAGCTCCCTCAACAACAGTGAGGGCTGGTTCAGGGCTCATAAGGCTCAAACTTGCGTCCATAGTCGGTCGCGCGTTAGTCCTCCTGGCTCAAAGACTCCGTTGTAACCAGACAACACTCGTAAGAACAATAATCATCACTGAAGCCATTCACAGAGGAAGGTTCCAGCTTTCGACCCCAGGCGCAACCCAACTTCTAGATTTATAACCCACATTGGAAGCATGGGGGTTCGTCTGGATAACAAGGTCCGCTGCCTGGAAAAGGTTGGAAAGGCGCGTATTGCAACACTCAAGCTTCCCTGAGCGAGTCGTCAATTAGCTACCGTCATGTCGTCAACTAGTCTTCTTCTCCAACGCAATTAGCCACGCTCGCTTAGTCCCCTCCTGTCTCTCTCTTCCCCGACAGTCATTCGTAACCGTCTCACTTTCTCTTTTCTTTCTGGGTCTACCCTGCGTAAGGTTACACACATGTGTCGTCGTATGCCTCTCTTTTCCCGAGTCCAACACATAAAGACTCCCGCATTTCGCCTGCTCACTAGACCAGCATTGGCGTCTGCCCAGACGTCGCACTGCATTGGCGACCTCCTCTCTTGTCACTAGCCATCCTCTCCTTTGAGACTCTCCCGCGCGTGCTGATGTGTGGGACACCTCTCCCCGTTCCACTCGTCATAACCTTTGAGCGACTCTCCTTCGCTCACACACATCGCTTGTCACAGTCACCCTTCTGGTTAGTCTCTCCACTCCGGGCCTTTTTCTCTCCCCAGTCACGCGTTCCGCTCATATGGGCCAAGGAAGAAGAGTAAATATCAGATGTTGAGCATTCTCACGTGATCTGTGCGCGACATGATCGAATAGCTGGCCAACCATTTTTGGGGCACATCAGAGCTCCTTGGAAGCTCTCTACGACGATCCCCTCAGGAAGCTATCCCCCACTGGTTATCTTGACAGCACGCAGAAATGCCAAAACGCGTTGGGCCCTCAGTCACCCGCGAAACGCCAGCCGTTGACCACTTTCTCGCTCTCCAGACCACGCCACCTGTCGAGCGTGTGCTCGTGTAACTCTCTTTTCTTGTCTCTCGGACTAGCACGTGTTGACCCTCTCCAGACGTTGCCTTCTCACACGCGTCCTTTCCCCCTGTTTTGCTTCTCACTCGTCCCGCGGCCTCTGGGCATCAGCTGTCGAGAGCTGACCTCAGGTCCCTCTTCAACCGGCCTCGCGGACCAGTGATGCCTTTGGATCTCGCTTGGTCTATTCCAGGACCTGAGATCTGTCTCCCGGTCTCCCGCTTCGCTCATTTCACTCTCACCGCCCGAGTCCCTGTCCACGTGGGCCTGTTCCAGGTCCGCTGTGTCCATTGAGGTCTAGGTCTCATGATACGAGACCGTTACCTGCAACCTTGCAGTCACTCCGTCCCTCCTGCAGCGCCTCTCCGCACAGTCTTTTGCCTCCATTATCACATTCTGCAGTTTTCCGTCCGTCCGCATCTCCACTTCTTTTGCCCCTTCCACGTTAATCTTCATCTTCACTTCATCTCCCCCATCGTAGTTGAGCATGACTGTGATCCAGGGCCCTACCCCAGACATGGGTCTCCATTGGGCCTGGTGGTACCCGTATCCGGGCCTATACCCATGCAACGCCATAGGTAGGCTAAGTTCGATAAACAGCGCACCGGCCCCGCGTACTGACCCGAATGACCAGTACCCACTAGTGGGTACACAGACAGGGCCTTCAGATGGGCTTACACGTCCACCTCACCTCTCCGTTCCCCCCTTCATCGACTAGGCCGCAATCGCATAGCTCTCACCGTATGAGACAGTCCTCCCTTCTTTATAGGATCGCTGTTGCATTCCCAAACTCAGCATAGATAGCCCCGCTATTTTCTCGCCGATCTGTGTTCTTGCTTCGACCAGACTTTTCCTTTTTTTTTTTTTTTTTTTTAATTAGGTGAAACAAAAATTAAAATGAGAATGATAATAAAATCAAAATAAAATAAGCCAAACAGCGAGGAAGGAAATTAAGAACAAGAGACATAATCATCAACGGTCATATCACTAGCTCCCTCTTGGGCTCGGATGTGACCTGCAGACTCAACGTGGAGGTCCCATAACGGGTTACTAGTGGATGCCCACCCTTCTTTAAAACCTGCAGCCTAACTTACGACTATCGGGTACCCGTGTCCGATGGCAAGGAGGGGGCTTATGACCCTCCACAGGGGGGTGATAGGCTCCCTACCAATGCGGCCGCGGGTCGCCCCTCTTTTGAGGTCCTGCAGCGCGGCACTCAGTCGAACAAGCTCAGAGCAAACAGTACACGAGGAGTCGGTCCACTTAGGCCGCACAAAATAGCTCAAGCCAGAATTTCCAACCGTTGGCTTTCCTGTGAAGTAACACGCTAAGGGCAAACCGAATCGGACGATCGAGCGGAAGAAAACTAAGTAACAATAAAGAAAAGGAAAAGATGGCGTTTCAAAATTCTGCTGCGCCGCAGCCTCGCCTAAACGACGATACGAGCCCACACACAAATCTAAAACCCGACTTCCATTCTTTTCTCTTCCTTTTTCCCCTTTTCTTATTTTTCTCCCTTCAGTCCTCTCTGTATCTGCCCCCTTAACCTGGCCACCGGGGTCTCACCGCAAGGTTCGGACGAACAGGTCTGGTACAAGCGATATACAAGAGGTCAGTAATACCCAGGCCATAAGACCGCAATTACAGTCCGAAAACCCGAATCGGCGGCCCTTTCCCTACGAAGTGACAGATCGACAGGCGGAAAAGCGAAATAAAATTTTTAAGTAATAATGACAATAAAATAATAGCAATAATGATGACGACATTTCAAATTTGGAAAGGAAACCATAGCATCACAGCGAACGGAGGCCACCAGATTTCCCCACACAAAAGAAAATGAGTTTAAGTTTGACGCTTTTTCTTTTTTTTCTTTTTCTCTTTTCCTTTCCCCGACAACGACTTCTACCCCCTTGCACCTAACCCATAACTTGGCAACAGGGCACTCGGCGCGCAGCAGAAAAGACTGCGCCAACCCTTTCGCCTTTGCGTCCCAGGGCAGACCCGACGGCTACCACGGCCACAGGCCGGTTGTGCTCTGTTGTACAGCAGGGCGCCGACGTGGACCAATGGAAAACCCTGTGGCGCACCTTTTGTTGAGGCAAGCACCAAACAGGGCCGGTCCACGTCATGGTTCCGCCTTGGTACCAGGGAATTTTTAATTCCGGAACATACCCATAGGCCCCACATAGGTCACGGCATCGAGACAAAGGGCGACATCAGGCAGGGACTTGGTACACAGAGGAGGGCCGGGACACTGCGCCCTCCGACATAATACCAACCCGCCACCCAGCGTCCCCGCTGGGTCGAAATGGATTACACTCCTAGTATAAAACCAGAGTAAATAAGTAGCTTTCTCATTCATTCCTACTTGTGACTTGCGGTAGCATTCATACTGTGCCTTAGCGTAGTCAGTTTTCCGTTTTCGCTTTGCGCCATCCTTTTCCTCCGTGCTAGGTTTCTTTTCTGTGCTAGGCTCCTCTCCTAGCGTTCATCTTCTCTCTGCGCTTGCTTTTTCTTTTAGCGCTCACCTTCTCTCTCACGTAACATGTTGTAGTCTCTCGTAGTCGGCGCGATAATTCTCTTTATTTCTCTTGGTAAATTTTCGCTTTCGTTTTCAGGATCCATCTCATCATCATAAACTTCACTCATACAACCTTCTCGGTCATAGCTTTTGGCGCTAAATTCCGTCCTTTATCTTCTCTTTTAATAGCCATCTAACGCGCATCATGCCTGAGGCACGCCTCGGACAAGGTAGAGGGAGAGGAGGAAGAGGAGGGAAAGCAAAAGAAGAACCGCCAGTTAGGGCTCGACGGGATTATAGTTCAGAGGAGGAGGAAGAGGAGGAGCCATGAGGCTACGGCCGTTTAAGGCCATACCCTCACTACTCATTAGGAGGGTGGTACGAGAGGACTCCATCTCCTGACAGGATGGAGTTCCTTCGCAAGAAATTCGACGCGCGTTATGGCATACTCAGCACCTCTTCTCCTCCTTATATACCCAGAGCTCCTTTCACCCCTGCCGTAAGCAAGGCTATAGTGCCGGCTCCTCCATCTTCAGCCCCATGCATAGCTTCTTCGCCCTCTCACTCCAATAGTTGCGTTCTCTTTAGCATCTTCTTCCTTCTTTTTCTTTTCCAGCTCGAACTCATGGCCATCTTTTATGTCTTATATAAGCATGACTTCTTCTCAACCTTTTGAGTCTGATTTCGGCTCGTAAAATTTTCAGTTCAGTCCACTTCGTAACGTCTCCGGCCTGAGAGTTTTGGCTTCCTTAAGGCCAAGGACGCAGGTTCCTTGTGAACCAGGCCGCTTGTCGGCCACCAAATAAAAATTTAAGAAGGATTTTGTCTGCTTGTTTGACTTGTTCAACTGTTGGTTCTTCACATGGAGGTTACCTTAGCTCTTGATCAGGCATCTATGCCAGGGATGACACCGGTAACGAGGATACTCACTCTGCCTGCCATGCTGGGAATAGGGCATACCAAACCCTCTTTTCTGTTCTCTGGTCTGAGTGAGACGTCTTCTCAGCTTCTCGAGCAGCTAATGGGGATACCAAACCCTTGTTTTCTTTCTCAGGTCTGAGTGAGGCGTCTCCTCAACTTCTCAGATAAAAGGAAGGGGATACCAAACCCTTTTTCTTTTCTTTGGTCTGGGAACTTCATATAAATATTTGTACACCTGCAAAATCAACGAGTCCCACAGACAACAACCATGCCCCAGCAGGCAAACCCGCTGACAACCAACAGTCAAGCATTAACAAATTAGAATAAAACCCATAAATAAAATAATAAATAACAATTAACAATTAATACATAACAGTCCTTCACAACCAGGATTTATTGATTGCCTTGGTTTCAGCCCACCACTGACGAGGAATACCGGACGTCCCGTCAGTCTGATATACCTCATTCGGTCCGCCTCAGGCCACGACTAGCCAGACCATTTGTCTTGATAGCCCTTTTGACCTGCCTCCAGGTCAGGACTAGCATACCAACTACTCGAGTATTACAACCCTTTGGCACTCTCGCCAGGACGCCCAGACTATAACGGGTCTAGCCACCCTATGACAGAAGACGTCCCGTCAGTCAAACTGTCCCGAACTCGGATTTGACCACAAGGTCAGGGACCGGTTCACCTACCAGTTTTTGGCCAAGGGCGCTGGCTGCCCCGCCCAGATTTTCAAGTGTAGGACCCGGTCTAACTACAACTCAAGGCTCTGGCTAACCTTACTGGATGGCATGCTCTTACTGCGGTCGGGTTCCAGCTGACCCCTTCCAACCTCACGGGCCAGGCCCCCGGAGCCTTAGCCTCAGTCAGACTACGGAATTCGACACTCACGTCGGGGACCTGCTGACCCCACCAGATTGCAACCTACTGCGGTAAGGCTCCGGCTGACCCCGATAATCAACAACATCTGAGGTTAGTGAAGATAACACCAAGCACATGCAGTCGGACAAGCATACAATTCCCCACAAGCAGACTGCCCATGCCCCCATAACAGGACAAAGATTTCTCAAGAGACGTCCCGTCAGTCTCAAGAGACACTTGAACAGCAACATGATAACCATCACCAAGCCCTTACAGGAGACCTCCCTTCAGTCTAAAAAAGGATGCGTAGTGCTGGCCCCAGAGAGGTCCCTTTCCTCAGCTGGGAATTTTCTTTTCTTTTCCAAGAGACGTCCCGTCAGTCTCAAGAGACACTTGAACAGCAACATGATAACCATCACCAAGCCCTTACAGGAGACCTCCCTTCAGTCTAAAAAAGGATGCGTAGTGCTGGCCCCAGAGAGGTCCCTTTCCTCAGCTGGGAATTTTCTTTTCTTTTCCAAGAGACGTCCCGTCAGTCTCAAGGAAGTACTGAAATGCTGATCTCAGAGAGGTCCCTTCCCTCATCCGAGCGAAGACAGATCCTTAGCCAAAGGCACGAAGTCCCTCTACTGACCACTCTCAGTCAAGTAGAGTTGAACTTCTTTATACCTGCTTTCATCTGAATCTCTTGGATGAACATTTTACTCAGAGACTCGAAGTCCTTCCGCTGATAACTCTTAGTCAGACAAAACTGAACTTCCTCATGCGCACCATGCTCTTCTCTTTATCTTAGGATAATACTGATCATATCTTTTGATGTGCCACAACCATGAGCTCCTCAAATATTTGACACTGTGTCAATACTTAAGAAACCGATTTTACAGTTATCTTCCCACTCCCAGGGACTTGACACTCATGGAACGACTGTAGCGCTGCATCAAAAGACCTGACTTAATCGTTTTGCCGAAATACTGAATAAAACGCTTGCTGAAAACTGAGATATTGAAGCTGAGATGTTGAAACTGAAAACTGGAATTAAATTACCGAAACTGAAATGACGAAACCGAAGCTCTGAAGTTGAAATGTTGAATCTGAAATGTTGAATCCGAAATGCTGAATTGACTATGCATGAATGATCTGATTCCACTGAAACCGAGTCTTGTCGTCTCAACATCTCACTGTACTCTTTTTCTTAGTCATCTATGACCGTTTTCTTACTTGGATAGGTGACTTCTCTTTCCTCTCTTTGAAGTCACTGTAAGGATCAAGTCAGGATCTCTGAAAATAAACTTACGAAGTCTTGACCCTGACACCATGTCGTAAACTCTGGATCCATCCATCTCTGAAATCTCATAAACTTTGCCCTCTGCTTCCCCTGTGATTCTGTAGGGACCAAGCCATCTGGGCTCCAATCTCTTAGTCCATTGCGTCTCAAGGAAACTGTCAAACAGAAGGACAACATCTCCAATCTTCGATTTCTCTTTTCTTATTTCTCTTTTCTTGTTCCATCTTTCTTGATCTGATAGTCTGCTGGATGCCATCCTTTCTGCAACATCCATCACTGTCTGATCAACTTCTGATATTTGCTTCATCCGGATCTGAAGAAGCTCTGAAATAAAATATTCTATGTCACTTTCTTGACTTGACCATGTCTTGACAATACTTTCAATTGGTAATGTAGCATATCGACCATACCACAGGATAAATGACGCATATCCAGTAGTTATCTTGACTGTAATGTTGTCAGCATATACAACAACTCTTAATACCTTTGGCCAATTGCTGAGATTCCCTTCACACCACTTAGCCAATGAATCCTTCAGGGTTCTGTGACCTCTCTCAACAGACGCATTCGCTTGAGGATGGTAAGTAGTCACATAACGAATCCTGACACCCAATCTGAGTGTAACTCTTCTGACAACCTCGTTTCTGAACTCTGATCCTTTGTTTGAGACAAATTCTCTGATAAAAGGATACCTGAGATAGACTTCCTCTATCCAATCGGCCACTTGTTCGACTGTCTTCTTTTTCAGAGTTTTTGCCTCAACGTATCCAGAGAAATTATCTCTCATGTTTAGTATGTATCTCATCCCACCCTTGCCTGGAGGCATAGTGATGAGATCCAGATGAACTCTGCTACCTGGTTCTACCAGGATTGTAGGGAATAGGGGCTCAATCATCCTTGTGGTAGACCTCATCTGACATAAGACACATGATGTACAATATCTGAAAATCATGTCTCTCATGCCAGGCCAAAAATAGAGTTTGACAGTCTTGGAGTAGGTTGCCTCAGCAGCCCTATGACCACCAGCAACCCCCTCGTGTAGGGCAACAATTATCTCTAACTGCCTCTCTTTGCCACAGACCACTCTTAGTGGAGGTAGGCCTCCCCTACCATCCACGAAGAGATGTCCTCTCTTTAGTCTGAATTTCTTCCTTGAATCCTTACAATAATATTATTTTAGCTGCTCCTTTTTCATCTTCTTGTCAATCTCTTGATAATTTTCATCATATTCTTCAAAGAAGAAAAATATTTCTTCTTCCTTCTTTTCACTCTCCTCTTCTTCCTTTGAACCTGAACTTTTCCCAATCTCATGAGCAGCCACTGCTGCAACATTAACTTTAGCATACCAATCATTTGGTTCATCTTCCTCTTCTTTCCCAAGAACCGATTCGTAAATGTACGCACTAGGGATCTCTCCCCAACTGTCTCTTTCTTCTGGCCATGGATTCCACTTGTAGGAGCATGACACTTCATAGTCCTCATCATCTTTCTCATTAAGAAAATTATCAACATAGGCAGATTCTTCAATTGTTTCATTCACATCTTCTTCTTCCTCTTCTCGCCACTCAATCCGGCTTAAGCCATCTGCTCTGTTTTTCTCAGTGGGGATATTTTCCAGCTTAAAATCATATGTCCAGATGAAGGCGATTCATCTGCTGAATGTTGGATCTACCTGTTGGTGTTTTTTAATGACACAAATCACAGCAGATGCATCAATCCTCAGGATGAATCTCCTTCCTAAAACGTAGTGTCTGAAGCACCTGAGGCTATGGATGATTGACAGTAGCTCTTTCCTGAATTGGGTGTAGCCTCTTTCTGTAGAATTGAGAGTTCTGCTTTCAAATCTCAGAGATTTTTCTCTCCCGTTTTCATCTTTCTGAATAAGCACTCCACCCAGAGCAACTGACCCTCCATCCGCCTCAATGATGATAGGTCTTGTCTCCTCATCATCATAATACGGTACTCTCAGCACTACACCACCATCTCTTAGTTTTTCTTGCAATGTTTCTGCTGCGGCTTGTCTTTTATCATTTCATGCTAAGCTAGCCCCTTGTCTTACCATTTCCCTCAGGGGCTCTGTAAGGGCAGCAAAATGAGGAATAAAAATCCTCCAGAATCCACAGACTCCCAAGAAGCTCCTGACGTCTGTCACTCTTTTGAGAGGCAGAGACCAGTTCAAGATCTTGTCTATCTTCTTGGGATCTAGACTCCTACCCTTGGAGAAACATCTGAAGCCCAAGATTATCACCTCTGGTTGGAAGAGAAGGGATTTTGGTCCACTGACAGTCAGATTATACTTCTGAAGTCTCTCTAGGACCTTCTTTACTCCTTCAGCATGTTCCCAGACAAATTTTCTGATCCCCCTTGCGACCAAAGTCTCATCTCTTACCAAGGGTCCTTTTACAGGATTATCATCAATGTAGGGACTGATTATTTCAGGAGAAATATCCTGCATGACTTTGATCATATCCCTCTGAACCACTGCCACTCCGTTAGTCCAGCCCTGAGGCACCACACACATCTCAACAAGCCCCCTCGGCGTGTGCATGACAGTCATGGGTCGGCTAGTGGGATCAATAGGGAACTGATCATAGCCAGAATACAGATCAACTAGAGAGTAAATACATCGACCAGCAAAGGATTCAGCAAGGAGGTCAGCATTAGGAAGACTACCTGCATCACGTACCGTCACAGAATTGAGCTTCTGAAGATTCTGTATCCATCTTAGTCCGCCCCCTGGTTTCCAAAAACAAAACCAGTGGTTAGCATATGGTCCATCAGCAGGTTCAACAACATTAGATGCAATCTTCTTGTCAAGGTACTTTACTACTTCCGCTTCCTCCTTTATGGCATACTTGGTTGGTCTATGATTCCATGGAACATGATCAACTGTCCAGATTTTGACCATCTTGATCAGGTCCACGTCCAACCGCCCTCTCTCTTCATCATTAAAGGAGAAAACACTTCAGAATTCCTGACACATCCTAAAGATATATTCTTTCTCTTTAGGCAGGATAAATTGATCCGAGCCTATCTTCATTGTGTCGAATCTCTCTTTGGTGACTCTATTCTCCAATTTTGTTGATTCCCTCAATGCTCTTATAATTTTCCTCTCCTTTTCCAAAACTTCATCATCATCTTTTTCTATTAGGACTGCCACTGTTTTTTTTTTCACCCCTTTGGGCTTATATTTTCTTTTTGACCCAGTGACTATTTTCCTAAAAAAGGGTGAGTCGATGCAAATCTTAATTTCATTCTTCCTCCCTTAGCAGTCTCCACAGCTTTCTTGAAAGCTTCAATTTGTCTGTGCTAATCCTGAAGTTTACCAAAGGCTTTTATCATTTTCGAAACCTGATTGATTCCCACTGAAATCTCTTCTGTTGCTTCCCGTTTTCCTTCCTCCTTTAGTCTCATAACCCTTTCAGCAGATTCTTCCCTCCTGATCGAATTAGCAGATAGTTGATGCTTGAAGTCATTTTTCGTACTGACCATAAAGGTCTGCTCTTGAGCAGTATCGGGATCCTGTAGACTGATCCAAGATGACCCCTCATGACTGAAAAATTAGACTGTCTCCATCCTATGCAAGAATGGAGTTCCCAAGATACAGTCATGATCCAGATCCGGCACTACAAAACCCAGTAACTCCACAGTCATTGTCCCAACCCTGATAGACAAATTATCAATAAATCCAGCCACGAACAGCTCTCCTACAATATTACTCAGTACATTTTGTGCAGGTCTATCAATAGATAAATTACATGCTTTCATCGTTCTTCGTGAAAGAAGTATCATATCTGC